GTTCTGGCATCATAATATTATATCATATATAACAGAAAAATCTGGCTATCTTTGTGACCGAATTAAAATTTGACGCAGCAATTTGGGTAGTGTCCAAATCTTATTATGGCAATTTAGAATATTTTCTGCCATCATTTTTTATCTAACATTAATGTTATGTAAAACTAGTTTGTCTTTTAATATTCATAGACTAGCTCGTTACAAAACATAATTTAATTTGCCGTAAATATAAATTGGCACGACAAAAACTAGTTTGGAATTTCCACTAGCATATTGAATAGCTTTAATAAATAATATGACAATTTAATAGCTAAACATTTTGTTCTACAGAGATCATAGCAGAGCTTAAATAGAATCTGAAGTTTACAGTTCGTAAATGCATTATAACTCGCAGAGCGCTTAAATCATGTAAGTACACAAAATAAAAGCTTGAAACGGCAGTATAATAGTGTTTAAAATTAAAGCAGTCTAATAAAAATAAAGCCCGTATCTAAAACCTCCCCGCCCATAAGTGCGTATATATCAGTCGATAAAGTCGAAAGCGTTATTGCGATAATTCGTAATACTTCTATTGCGTCGTTTTTATCGCAGATGTGTGTAACTTCGAAGCCGTTCTCATTCATAATGTCCATCCAATATTATCGACCTAAGTACGATGTATTCTTTTACTATAATAACGCGCTTATGTGGGGGGAGAGGGGTCTTAGAGGGCTTAGGACTTCAAAGAATTACCATTCACTATCCATTCACTCTAGGACTTCTTAAATTTCGATTCATTTGCTATTTTTGTGAAATTCTTTGAAATAAATGTTGTCCCAGTTTACATTAATTTAACAAACTATTTATCAAATATAGGTTTTTTTACCAGGACAAAAATAATTTGTGTCATCTCAACTATCGTAATATTTCAAAGCCCATAGTCCTTTTCAGCTACTTCTACTTTTATTACAAGAAAAGTGACAACTTTTTATTCATACAATGTACAATATCACGTTAAACAAAAACTTTTTAAATAAAAAAAGACCTTCCTACGCTGGGATTGGAACCCAGGACGCCTAGGGTTCTACCACTTAACCACCGATGCTTGTTGATAAGGTCTGTTTTTTTTAAAAACAATTTAAAATGTTATCCGGCATGCTAAAGATAAAAGAAAAATTTGTGGCGATGTCAAAGTTTCACTTAAAATATTTCATGAAAACAGGATTCCTAAAATATCAAAAAAAAAACACCTCATGAAAACTAAGTTTAAAAATTTTGTGTGCAAAATTATGACCAAAGTGGTCACAATTCCCCATTTTGTTTATAAAGTTAGTTCAGAGACGTCAATAAAATTCAAAGCGACATCATATTTTATTCTATTGCTAACTCAAAGCGACAGCATCATATTTAATTAAAGTTAAGTGCACCTGACGTTTCTGAATGCGACCGAATATATGAGACACTGCATAAAACAATTTCAAATACCAGAGGCCCAAGCATGAACGCTCACCAATCGTATCGCAGCGTGAAAGTTTTTATGAGTATCCAAGCAGCGCCGCTACCGGACGTAAGAACAAACTAGCTCCTTCCATCTATAGATGGATTCTATACATATAAATAAAATTGGAGTGTCTGTTTGTAATATTGAAATAACCGCTTTTTACTATATGCATAATATATATACGGTACATACACCAAAATAACATTTTTACAATTTTTGTCTGTCTGTCGTCTGTCTGTTCGTTCCGGCTAATCTCTGAAATAGCTGGACCGATTTTGACGGGACTTTTATTGGCAGGTTGCTGATGTAATAAGGAGTAACTTAGGCTACTTTTATTATAGAAAAATTCTTACATTTTAGAAAAAGGACAAAGTCGCGGGCGGCCGCTAGTACAAAATATAAGGATGACGATACGATTACGAATCTGTCATTGTTTGTGCTTGGGGTACAGTAAGATTGCGAAACTACACCGCATATAAAAATTAAAACTTAAATTAAGAATTACATGTACAACCAACAAGTTCAACAACAAAATCAACAAATCAAGTTGTAAGGAAGTGGAAATTTCCTTCACCGAAATAATCTGAAATTAATCAAGATAAAACTAGAAATCTGTCAGTTTTACATTAGTTGACTGTACAAGCAAATTGTTGATAAGAAATACAATAAACGCATAAAAAGCTTTTAAAAAGTAATATTACTCGTATAGTTAAAATACTGGATTCAAAAAAGAAAATACACAACCACAAATAACAAAATACTATACCAGTAACAACAATATTTGTGATTAATTGATATTATAGATAGTATAATGGATGAATACAAAAATCTGCTAAATACTTGTATAAAAAACCGGCCAAGTGCGAGTCGGACTCGCGCACGAAGGGTTCCGTACCATTATACTATAAACTTATAGGCTTTCCTATTAATATATAAGCAAAGAGCTCCATTCCATTTTTATTTTCAAATTTTAAATGTTGATGTTTTTGCCGATTGAGTTATGAACTAAGGAACCCTAGAAAATGTGCGATTTAAACAGGCATCAATATAACAAAAGTAATCAAAATAGTAAATATTATTGTAAAGAATGTCTATGATGAAGCAAGTCGATTACAAGGAACCCTTCTAAGGCCCGTATTATAGAAAGATTCTCATTGATTGATCTAGTCTTGAGCATAGTTAGAAAGGGATATCGCTATATATAGCACATAGCGATATCCCTTTCTAACTGTACTCAAGTAACGATCGCCACTTAGTTGTCATTCTGTAATACGGACCTAAAACAATGTCTCCAAGGGCGGATTTACAATATATTATGTATTATAATTAATTGATATTATTATATGCTTCTGATTCTTAAAAATTCGTCACATTCTTTGATCTAATGTTGATTGAATGAAATTTAAAAATATTATGTGAAAATTTGTCAATTTGTGACGTAATCAGGTGTGTTGCTAAAACAGTAATTTATGTCGACGAGACAAAGAAAGAAGTCAAGTTTCAATGAGGGCTACCGTTTTCTGCCTCACCAGATGGCGCCACTGTTGAGTGAGGTCCTAAATTGTAACTTTTAAAGTTTATTAATACGCACATGAAATCAAAGGTTACATTTAGATCGTATTTTAACACAAAAGAACCATATCCTAAACATAATAGGCCATGCCACAGTGACGCGCAGTTCCGTTTTATTCGGAAAAAATGGGAACATAATCATTTTTCTAAGCTCAAATTTTTAATAACTGACATTCATTGCCACATAACTCATATTTGCCATAATTAAGCCGAATTGTTACCAATTATTCACAACATTATTTTAATTAGAAATAAACCCGCGTAGTCAACCAACAAGCAATAACATTGACATTTCGGAGACCTCACGCTACACTAGCGCCTCTAGCGGCGGATTCATACGCGATAGCCCTCATTGAATCTCTGTGTTTCTTAAAGGCCGCCCTCAGAGTCGTCAATAAACTTTTTGATTTTCAATAAAGTCTGTTGTGTCACTTTCTTCGAGATAGAAATAGATTTAGGCGATAAATTGACGTCTCTTAGTGAAGCCGTTACAAATTTAAATTAAACAATAGTTAAATCGCTGCACGTCATTGAAATTCATTCTTTATTCCCAGTCACTAGAATGCTATTTATGGCTACTTTGTTGCTATACGACAAGACGAATTACAGTTATTGAAACAGTCTTAAATTTTACCGAGACGTCGTCAGGACAAATACATTCCTACTGCTGTAGTATTAAACGATGTTTTAGCGTGCACATTGGAATTAGACCGTAGACTTACCGTCATATTTATAAACAAGTAAAAGTCATTACTTCTGCTTAAGCCATTACTGGAGCAACATTTTTCATTTCATACTTAAGAAATTAATCAAAGTACTTAAGAACTTTCCAAACTCATGCCATGAAAGAAACAAAAGCAAATAGTATTTTTATTGGCGCGAGATATAGCCAAGTACATCACCATTTTCGTTGCTAAGTAACCATTCATTTTATTCAAGAATTCTAGTGTCAAATAATGACTTGGTTACTTAGCAACAACATCATTACTTAGAAACCAGTAATCACTTGTTTATAAATACTTGTATTGGTAGTCGTGGAACATAAACCGCCTTACTCCAGAACGCGGTCTTGGTTTAAACCTAATGTTTTCTCTGTCTTCTATTTAGCAAACAAAAGTGACAGCATTAGTTTTAAACCAATTATAACTTTAGATTAAAACAAAAGGGGAAGATACGGTACGCTCATACTAGCATCAAATAAAATATGATCCGACTCAACTACATAAGCAACTCTCACACGCACACGTCTGTAAATAAACATTCAATCGAGCAAGCGAGACAGAACTGTAACCCTAGCAAGAATCAAGATCCAATTCGTATCGTTTGCGAGTCCGAAATGGCATTGTCAAATGTGTACTGATTTTTAGTTCTCGTTACGTACTTTGTGCCGCTGCTGTTCAAGTGTCCATACAAAATTTGACATTGACATTTCAGTTTGCAAACTATTCGAATTCGATAATGGTTCGTGCTAGGGGTACTGTACGCTTCAACGCAGCGCGAGCGAGACGGCGAATCCGTACGGGTAAGCTGTATTGTTGTCCTTTTCTTGATAACAAAATGGCGATTACGTAAATAGTTTTACCAATGAAAAGTGTTTCTGAGTTATTTGATTTTGAACTATTTGTGTTCTATGTGAATAAATAATTATATGTGAATAAAAGCATCGAAGGCATTGTTTTATCTTTATAACACAGAATATACGCAATATCGTTATATTGAGTGCACATGCAGCGTGTTTGAATGTCCAATTGTGACTAAAGCGAATTATGGTCACGCACCACAATTTAAGCGGATCACTTTTGAGCCGCGAGTGCCGTATCTTCCCTTTTTGTTTTAATCTAAGGTTATAACTTTAGTCAACGTTTTGTAATAAGACGAAAAGAGTCTTTAGTCTTACCGAAACGTCGGCGGCGAATCCGTCCTTATGTTATCGACTTTAAGATATATTTTAGCGTGGATGCGCCGGAAGTAATTCGACATAGTTGGCGGGAAACAGCCCGAATACACCGTGGGGGCCGAGCCCTTGCCACCATCCCGCGTCGATTTGTTCGATGTGTGTGATTATGTCGCCCGGATCGAAAGTTATCTCTGATTCGTCCGCTGCAAATATTATCAATAAATATTTAAAAATAAATATTTTCAACACACAAAACTTAGTCTAGTCCCAAAGTAAGCACTATAAGGCTTGTGTTATGGGATCCGGATGGTAACGGATAGAATACATATATAAGTATATTCATATAGAAATACATATTAAACAACCATGACTGAGTACAAATGCTCGTATTCATTACAAAGACTTCTGCCTCCACCGGGATTCGAACCCGGGACCCTCTCAAGAAGGCGACACCTTGAAACCCGGCGTAGATACCACTCGGCTACGGAGGAGCTATCGTCAAAGATATATTATAAAGTTAGTGAGATTTTAAGCTTAATGATCCTAAGTAGTTAATAGTGTAAAAAGGCACAGAATCTGGGAGCACGGCAGTGCCCCCGCCAAGTGAAGCGAAAAAACACAGCGGCACGGCCGTACCATCCTTTTCTCGAAACAGTTCAGACCATTTTCAACCCTCTATAACTTCGTTGGCGATAAAACTAGAAGCCTGAATTTTCAGTCACCAAGTAGGCATTGTATAAACTAGGTATATTTCAAACATTAAATTTGAGCCAGTAGTCAAAGTTTCTTAATTTTGTCACTCACTGACTGACCGATCATCAAAACTCTAAGGCACTTCTAGCAGACATAGAGGCTTCAAATTTAGAATATAGTTAGTGTTTAGTGTATAAATCAAGGAAAAACTAAAATATTTTGCAATTTCGGCCCAATTTTCCAGATATACTAACTGCATAAATAACTTTGTAATCTCATATAAATATATATGATTACAAAATTACATTTGCAGTTGATGAATCAGTAGTGTCGATTCTGTCATGATTCTCTAAAGCTAAACTTAACATCAGTCTCTCCTTTTCATTCTGTATAGAGAATGACAAGGATGCACTGTTGTCAAATTTAAGTTTAGCTTTAGAGAATCATGCCAGAATCGACATCACTGTATGTGTTATGTAAATATTTTACTATATTATAATATATACGTGTAGATAAGTATATAATAAAAGTAGGACTTTCTACAAAAAGAAAGGAGATGCTATCAAAAACATAACTTGTAAAAAAAACCAAGTCTCGCAACTCAGTTCTACTTCTACTACTGTCAAAAGTTGTGAGATCCAATTTATGCCAAGTTGGTTAATTTATTCAGTCCCTACTTAAGGAACCTTCTGTCTTGAGTTATTACGAAATTAGCTCACCAAACAACATCTTATACTGGCCATATCAATATTAAAAATCTTAAATGTTTAAAATAAATAAATTGACTTGGCAATCGCACTCAACAATCTAATTTATTATAAAATGTGAGATACATTGTGTTTTCATGCGATATATATTATCACATGAAAATACAATGTAGTTCTTCTACCCAATAAGGTGAATGATTTCTCCAAAAACTCACCCGCTTGGTAATCATATAGCGCTCTCGCCGTCAAACCTGGATCGTCGTCCAAGTCCTCATATATGTTGCCTTCTTCCTCCATACCCTCGGGAGAGACGTCTTCCGAAGTGGCATTCCCATTTTCCTTCTTATAATTAACATTTTCTATAACCGTATTCTGTCTACTCAGCTCTTTGCCTTCTTCGGCAATATTGTTCTTGCTGTAAGGAGACCTCTTTATAGTACTAAACTTGTTATCACTATCATCGTCATCATTCTCGTTAGAACTCGAATACGAAGCGTCGAACATATCGTTTTCCAATATGTTCTGCTTGATCATCGGTTCGCTTTGTTTCAAATCAGTTTCGATTTCCCTATAGTTGTTATCATTTTGTTTGCTCTCGGAATAGTTGATGGCACTAAATGAACTTGGCTCCGTTTCCGTGCTGGGACTTAAATCTGCGCTGGGATCTATGATCGGTTCGTACTGTATTTGCGAAGGGCTTTCTAGGCTCAATTTGATTTTGTCTATGTTCTTCAGTGGACTAGTCTTCGGTTGTTCTTCGGGTTCTTCTTGTTGTAGAGGCTTAGGTTCTAGTTTAACAGGCGATTTGATTGGGGAATTGGGCTGAGGCGATTGGTTCTGAGCTTGAGTGAATGTGTTGATGCGTTGAGCGATAACTGAACTGCGGACCGGTTTCTCTGGCACGTTCGAGGTTGTTCTGCAAATATCGAAGATTCTTTGTCATTAAATAGGTATGATGATGGGGTGAATTAATCGAAATTCTATTTATATTCTATTTAGTTAGTATTATAAAAAAAATATGGACAATTCTTTATTCCTTTGTTAATCAACCAAAGATCACAAATATGAAGCGTGTCAAAGTTACGGAGAAGGGGCTCGTAACGTCACTTCAAAGTAAAAAATGCACCAAGACGTGACGTCATACGACATTTCAAAACAATATATCGCTGTAAAAATAAACAGCTATAACTACTTGCTAACCTGTCTCTGGGCGAGGTTCTATGTTAACATGGTAGTGGAGCTAGCAGGATTAGCGCGTTGGTTCTGCGATCGTGGAGCTATGCAAGTTTGGCAATGGCCGGTTATTAGATGGGTGACCGATCGTTATTCGAGCTCCTCCGCGTTTCAGAAGGCACGTCAAGCCATCGGTCCTGGCTGGGGTCGTGAGCAACCCACCAATCCGCACGTTTATTCTTTTGGATCATAGCCAATTCTCCCTATGACATCCATAGTAGAAAGACGATCTCCATGGTAACAAGATGTCACTTACCCAGTCCCCGTAGCATGAGCACCACAATATAACATTATATCATGTTTTTTATCTCGTCTAACTGTCAAACTCCATAGTAATTTGACAGATGAGCGTGATAAAAACGCGTTATATGTCATATCGCAGTGCTCATGCTAGGGGGGGCAGAAGCGGGTTCGAATACCTTACAAACACGGTGATCGGTTACTCGGGGCGATGAGGGGATAGTCGCACGATGCGCCGCCAATCAGAAGGGGCGCGTGAGTGGTGCGCAATAAACTCAATACTGTGATTGGACGACAGCCCCGGACAACCGCGGCCAAATAAGTAAATAAGCCGCATAATTCGTAAGGCAAATTGTAGCCTGCTAGAAACAGCCATCGTGTAAATGTAAACAACTAGAAGAATAAAACTCCATCTTAGTAAAGCAACAACAACAACAACAAAGCGTTTTAAATCCGAAAACTTATATACAGTCCACACTAGAGATCCGAGGACTGAGGTCCATCACCTTCATCATCATCTCCACTATCAGCTTCATCATCGACATCTTGGTCCTTCGAGCCGGATCCATCGCGAACACTAACCCGTTTCTACTTACCTGGATCCAGTTATTTGACCCTGCGTGAGGTTCGATTGGAACATGGCTCAGTTGGCCGCAATAGAAGTGCCTAAAAGTTGCAGAGCATCCGCAGATCACTGTCTGCGAAGTCCATGGGGTTTTTACTTACTTGGATCCAGTTATTTGGCCCTGGGCTAGGTTCTGTTGAAACATGGCTCGAGCGGCCGCAGTAGAAGCGCCTATGAGTTGCCGAGCTTCCGCAGATCGCTGTCTACGAAGTTCAGGGGTTTTTACTTACTTGGATCCAGTTATTTGGCCCTGGGCTAGGTTCTGTTGAAACATGGCTCGAGCGGCCGCAGTAGAAGCGCCTATGAGTTGCCGAGCTTCCGCAGATCGCTGTCTGCGAAGTGCTTCGCTCGCACTTAGGCCTGTAGGACTCGTCGCTTCTGGTACGACCGCCCTTGGGAAAAAATACGGAAATAGAATCCAAATCGAAAATAGTTTATACAACTTTGACTTCCGATCACATTTACCTACTGTATATCAAAATTATTTCCCTATAGTAGGCTAATTCGCTAACTGCTTTTGACAGACGGAGGAGATAACACCGAACTATTTACTGATCCACTACTGCTTTATTATAACGCCACTAAGATACACGTTCTGAAAAGCATCGATGGATATGCAATTTTCTCTTTAGTCACCCACTGTAAATGTCATAAAAGTTAGCGAATAGTCCGGCTGGACATGCTAAGCCTAGTGTGGCAGCTAGAACTCTGTAAAATTGTTGTCAAAATTGGCAATAAATCATTATTATTATCCTATTAATATTTTAAATGTGTAAGTTTGTATCTTTGTTACTCAATCACGCAAAAATGGCTTAACAGATTTGGATGAAATTTTACACACAGACAGCTCATAACCTGGAAAGAGACATAGGATACTTTTTATCGCGGCAAAGTTTTAGGTTCCTGAGGGATTTTCGAAACACCAAATTTAACGCGGATGAAATCGCGGACGGCCGCTAGTTTTAGATAACACGTTACTACTGTGGTAATACTAGTAAAAAATGGTTTTTAACACAAACTTTCACGCGCTTTTCAACCCCTCAAAATAATGGTTTTGGGATGACACCTATCCTATGTCCTTCACCGAGACTCGAACTATTTCTGTACTACAGATTTAAACGTGAAGAGGTAACCGACAGACAGAAAGACAGGCAGACACATTTCGCATTTATAATATTAGTATAGATAGGTTTAAATATTAAAAATTATTACTTGTCCTGTTCAGCTTTGGCTCTTCTAGCTGCTTCTCGTTCGTCTCTTCTTCTTACATCCTCTTCTGCTTTTCTCTTCTCCTAAATTCAAATTGAAAAAGATATCAATAAAAGAAAAAAAGCGCATACTACATGACTGTTTCAGGGGTTTAGTAGATATTATTATGTACATAAACAATACCAGATATGATAATACCATGCCTTATCTAAAAATGCGACACTGAAAAACATACACTGGACTGCAAAAAAAACCCGCTAGTACATTGGAACTCTGGTTCGATTTTCTCAAAAACAATAAAACTTACAACTATCAAAGTTATAACCACAGAAAGTGAGTTTCATAATGATTAAAATTTGTACTGGAAAGTACTGTCAACTTAGTGTGTAATCAAAAGAGGAACACAATGCAACTTTATTCATTCTTTTTTATAAAATGTACGTTTATGTAAAATGTATGTAATGTGTTACGGTCTTTTTTAATAAAAAAATGAAGACAGACTGATACTTCTTATCATTTCTATAGTTTTTGTTCATAGTTTTCTCAGACGTGTGTTTTCTTGGTACATTTTTTTCTACCGATTAACACAATTGGAAAAAGACTCTTCTTAGGATATCTCTATTAAAAAAACAAAACTCAATAAATTCCTGTTCATTTTAATCATTATGAAACGGACTTTCTGTTGGTATATCTTTGATAGTTGTATATACGATTTTAGAAAATCAAAACAGAATTCCGAGGTAGAAAGTGACCCGATTTATTTGCTATCTAGTTTATGTGAAACAATGTAAAAAACTGATTAAAATTATAAGACGTACCTCTTCCCTTCGCTTCCTCTCAGCTTCGACGCGTTTCTTCTCTTCCTGCTCCTCCTTCAACCAAAACTGATCTCTTTCTTTCGAATTGATTTCTTGGACTATAATAAACGAAAACAATTTTTGAAACAATAAATTATTATATTTAAACACAAAACAAACACAGTTTCTTTATTTCGACCACAACCTTTTCATCCAGAATCATAGCAGTGAATGTAACAAGATATGAGAGAAGCCGCTTTCTATCAATCTATATTTTTTTCAATTATTTGTTGGAGCTAAGTATTATTTTCACCGTTCGCACGGAAGATTTTACTTGCTTCGCTAAGCAATGGTAATTAAAACAAAACATAAGTAATGAGAGATATGAAAGTGAATGACACAAATGAACTAACACATTCATTTTCTGTACCTCTTCTTAAACTATTTCTGCGCTCCTTTATATCTTCAGTCAGCTTCATTAAAAACAGAAAATCCCAATTCCGCCTTGCCATGATGGCAAACATTATATTTTCACGCACAAAACTGTCGAATTCCTCATACGAAACTAATGAGAACACCAAGCGACGCACGACTAACTTTCACGATATATTTGTTTACAAACATTATGCCTTGTATAAACGCGATGATCTGCCTTGCATTGATCATTGGAATAGTTTGTAAACATTGCTGTTGAATTATTAAGGAGAAAGAATGATAGTAACCTATGGTAATGTAAATAGCAACAATATTGACAAGGCAGAAAATAGTTACCCCCGTTATTAATCTAGATTCTAGAAAAAGGCATGAGACAAATGTAAGAAAAAATCTTCTAGGCAGGCGTGTACCATCCTGGGCCTCATCATCGCTTTCCATCAGGCGAGATTGTGGTCAAATGCCTTGGCTATTAAGCATTAAAAAACGCGATAATTTTACAATATTAAAAATGGCAATATTACAGATGTTCTGCAGTTCCTAAGCTGATATGTTCTCGTTTAACTTGATGTTCCTACTCCAAATCAAAGTATCTTTATACAATAATTGAATGCAAAATATCAACTCTTGAAAATTATCAGAATTAACGACTGGGGTCTTTCATTAATGATAACTACAGGTGAGTGGGTGGAATATAACAATTATTTATAAGGAGGGGTATTAAAACTCGAATTTGGGTTTATCTTTCATGTAATATATATTTAAATAAAACAAAATAGGGCCCAACTAGAAATAATCCCGTCTTTTGTCAAAAAAAATATATATATAAGGTAATTATTGGCGAGTTGGAGCATTTTAACTTATTGTTGACATGTTTATGAATCTTTATGAATGTTTCAAGCGACAAGTTAAATGTTATTCTTAAGTGAAGAGGTAACTCACAGACAGATATATATAATAGTTGGAACAAAGGGGATAGTATTTATTTGATCGAGGGATTCATACCGAACGCCGAACTTTGTGCCCCGCAAATTACCACTTCAGCTTGGCGTTGTTCTAGTTTTCCAACGGATTTCTACATCCTGATTCGATTACTTAAAGAAACATCGACACAGCTCTAGGATATACAATACTTTATAAGAAATAGAGGAGCCAGCAAATACTATGATTTTCTTTTGCTTCCATTTCAGCTTGCACATTTTAGATTTGTAGATTTTTGTCAAAAAGCGGGAGCACGGAGCGGACGTTAGTTCCGCGTTTTGTTTCATGTCATTTCTTAGAGCAGCGTTGCGGGAGGCGGGTCCACTCGATTGGCTATCTTCGGTGCTGTACCCCTAGCACGAACCATTATCGAATTCGAATAGTTTGCAAACCGAAATGTCAATGTCAAATTTTGTATGGAAACTTGAACAGCAGCGGCACAAAGTACATAACGAGAACTAAAAATCAGTACACATTTGACAATGACATTTCGGACTCGCAAACGTTACGAATTCGATATTGGTTCGTGCTAAGGGTACTGTTTTCTCCGCAGTGGCGGACTAAGAGGGGGGTAGAAGGAGCGGCCCGCCCCGGGCCTCCAGTGAAATACCTCCGCGTTCCCCTAATCAAATCCTAAACAAGACTTTAAAAATGTGCTTCGTACCTAAATAATTTCATCAAGACCAAGACACTACAGCCATCTAGAAATTTTACGCGGTACTAATATTCTTTTAATTTTGCTGAACGAGTCCAATACGTTGGGGGTATTCCCGTGTTTGTAGCGGGTACTTCTTCAGGAATCTTTGAATGAATGAAGTGCAAATAATTCACTCTTGTACGCCTACATACATTTACATTCACTACATCATATTCACGTCGAAAAATAAACATTGGCCTCATCTATAATATATGTATTAAATATCATTACGTTGATATTTAATAGTTAATTAGTAACCGATATTTTTATGAACCAATAAGCCTTTTTTCAAATTGTAAAGTAATAAACAAGGGGACGTTATTTCCCCGAAATTGTTCACAAATGCAATGGAGGATATGTTCAAGACGCTGAACTGGCATCAACATAAATGGCGAACAAATCTCTCATTTGCGATTTGCAGACGACTTCGTCATCATGGCAGAAATCCTACAGGACTTACAAAAAATGCTGAATGACCTGGCTGACTTTTCTACTCATTGGCCTGCGGATGAACTTGGATAAAACCAAGGTCATGTTCAATGAACATGTTCTACCGGAACCGATTGCAATACACGGTGCCGTTCTCGAAGTTGTTGAAAAATATGTATACCTCGGGCAGACATTGCAATTAGGTAGAAACAACTTTGAGGACGAGGTGAATAGAAGAATTCAGCTAGGTTCAGGAATTGACGTGAATTCCTGACATCGTCGATCCCACAGTGACTAAAGACGAGTCTTCAATCAGTGTCCTACCTGTGATGACAAACGGGGCCGAGACGTGGACACTGACGGTAAGGCTGGTCCACAAGTTCAAAGTCACTCAGCGCGCTATGGAAAGGGCTATGCTTGCTGTTTCTCTGAAGGACCGCATCAGAAATGAGGTAATCCGACAGAGAACCAGAGTTATCGACTTAGCCTACTGGATAAGCAAGTTGAAGTGGCAGTGGCCTGGCCATATTTGCCGAAGAACCGATAACCGTCGGGATAGACGAGTTCTGGAGTGGAAACCGCGTCCAGGCAAACGTAGTGTACGTTTCCACATTAAATCCTAAGCTCTCCCAAATATTCGAAAACCTCATGATATGGTTAAGCAATCATAATTTAGAAATAAAAAAAAACAAGTTTATACAATTCAGACCACGACACAAGAATCCAATAGAAATTAACTTCTCTATGGACCAAACAACTATTGAAAGTGTCGATAATTTCCCAATGCTCAGCTTAAAAATAGATACCAGCATTACATGGAAGGCCCACATTGAAAAAATAAATTGTCACGCTTTCTATAAACCTTGTCTAAAATAAAATGTAGCACAAACTTACAAACCGCTCTTACAGCATATTACGCCTATGCGTATTCTTGGCTACATTACTGTGTGATATTGTAGGGAAATAGCACTGCTGACAAAGGTTTGTTCGTGATACAATATAAGTGCATAAGAATTTTAGTAAATATCGAACAAACTGAAAGATGCAGACTGCATTTTAAAGAGCTTAAAATTTTAACCCTAACAAGTTTATATATTTTCGATCTCTGTAAATTTTTAAAACAAAACCCAAGCTATTTTAAGAGTAACAAACAAATGAAGGAAAATAAACTAAACATCCAAAGATTACAAACATACAAACGTTTTAAAGATAATCTACACAGTAGATTAGAAATGTTTAGCTGTAGTACATTTGTCATATGCATTAAAATACATAATAAAATCAACAACACCTGAAGTCGAAGGTTAATGATAAATTATTTCTAAGAGCTTGGAAGGATTATTTGATAGGTAAAGCATTTTATAGTTTGGAAGAGTTTTTAAAGTAACAAAATGATATTATTATACTTAATTCACATTGTAAAATACTTTATTGACATTGTATTTTAATAAGCGCCTAATAATAAATATACCAATAATAATAATAATAACCCAATTTTATTCAAGCCACATTGACATGCTTTTTATTTCTTTTAAAATTAATTGTTGCATTGTATTGTAGTGCCCAATGGGGTTCCATGTTTGTACTTAATGTGTTATAGCTTAAGACCTTATAATCGATGGAAACAATAAAGAATTGAATTTAATAATTACAGTAAAATCCAAATTCAACTATAAAAGTTACACTTACCAGGATTAACCTTGTGGTAGGCTGTCCCGACTGGCCCACTAGATGGCAAGTCTTCAGCTTTACTTGTCTTAAAGTTAAACGAGGAGCCTGTTTTAGCTAGCTTGTCCAATATAAGTCGTTCGTCGAGATCATCCTCTGTTCTAGCATGCAATGTGAGGTGGAAACCAGTGAAGAATTGTGCAACATACTTGATGTGGTTTGCACAAGTGCCTTTTCGAACTGTTGGTGCTCCCTCGCCCTGGAAATCATCCATTAATTTTAAATTACACATTTCAAAATATCCTAATTCCACCTTGAAGCAATTGTTTATAGGGCTGGAATAGGTTTTCTTTTATTTCAGTTAGTTTATTTAAGATGGAGTGTTATTAAAGTCTCATAAAGTTGTCTATGGGATCTGTTGAGTTTCTATACTCTCAATAGATATTGCGTTATTACTATTAACTCAATAATCCCTTCAACAAATAATACAAAAATAAATATTAGCTTAAATTTTTTAAGCATATGTACAGGCTCTGTTGTCAGTTAGACAATGCCCCTGATGCCCTAAACCATCCCACCTATTCCCCCCAAATGGAGAAGGCTAGGTCCTTCGAATAAGCTCACTGGTGTTGCTGTGAAAGTATATGTAATGTCATATCCAGTGGTATAGCCTTGCCTGACATTGGGTTGCCAACTAGCAGCATGTAAGGGCATTTTGTGTATTTTTTGGGTAGCAGAATTCCCCCAATCCAAAGCAGCCACTGATCCAGTCCTTTGAACTTGCTTGGAATGAGTAGGAGTCACACATGACCCCACCAGATCTCCAGACGGGTATATAGCATTGTTATATTATGGCATAACTCATATTTTTGCTAATAAGGATAAATATGACTATGTATATAACAAAATTTTGCAGAATTATTATTTAATGTTATCCTTAATAGCTCTAAAAGGGATTACAAATTAACCAGGAAAATGATTGAGTTTAATTTTATTGTTTTATTTTATGTTAATACTATTTCTATGATACTAACAGCCCATTCAGATTTAAATAACTATCCTTAACAGCCACTATAAAGAAAAAATTACATGGGACTTAGTTGTTGGACAGGTTTCACGCCACACTTAAGTTCAAAGACATCTCCATAAGTTATCAGAAACGTAATTAATAAGAAATTAAAATAAACCTATTTTTAATTTTGTGAAATGTAAGAGGAATATTGATGGTAGAGCTAAAAATAAGAATTATAACAGAAATTAAGGTTGTTAAAAGTATTTTTAGAATAAAATAATACATACATTATAATCTTATCTCTTCAATTGACCAAATACATACCTGCCAATTGATAAGCACATATTTAGATACGGTGCCATTAGGTAAATCTACTTTCAAAAATGCATATTGAATTTTTCCACTGTTAAAGTCGTCAGTCAATTCAGTAAGACCGCCGTCACCTTTGCCAACGAATTTTAAATCATTCGTTAGGCCATCATATCCAAATAAAGCCCTGGAAAACAACATTTTTAGCAGTGTACACAAGTCAATTGTCAAATAACCCACATTTATTCAGTGCTCACATTAATTTTACGTAAAAGATATTAGGCACGTTTATTCATTACAAAAATAAAAGTGAAAAGCTTGCTTTTTCACCAATCTAACCTGTTTTACAGATATGGAACTAAACGTTTTCCGAGTTAAAGAAGCTAAGTTCAGTGAGCCAGTTTGTGGTGACAATAGACGGCGGAAAAGGATACCTTGTACATTCCACGCTAATGAATTCAGTTCATTATTTTAATCAGGAGTGGCTGTTTATTTAATATTGTACACAAGTAGGTCGGCGCTACGAATGCATACATACCAATTGGTTTCACTTTTCTCATCTAGTACGTCCTTCCAGGCTGCGATGAGAGCTTCTCTATGTTTGTCCAAGTTTATAGCCATCTTACATTCTTCCTTACCGCGATTCTAAAATGAATTATTAGAATTTTGAACAAGAATCTGTTAATCTGCCGCTAAGCTTGACTCACAATTTGACAACAGATAGACCATAGATAAAATAAATATACGAAATCGACTTGTCATTTGTTTGACAGCCCAATGCTACGTTCAATACCTACGCTCAGAGTGCAACTTTTTACCTAAAACGGCCTTTACACTACCCAATTTTAAGGGCCCGATCGAAAGGGTGGGCTTGGACTCAAGCCCGGGTGGTAGCAATATTACACCGCGCCGATCGCCCTAGATCGAGTTTACACCATCCTTAGCCAGGGTAAGGGTCCCTTAAAATTGGGTAGTATAAATCCCGCATAAGGCTAAGGGTATTACAATAAGTTGAAGTGGCAGTGGGCTGGCCATATTTGCTGAAGAACCGATAACCATTGGGGTAGACGAGTTCTGGAGTGGAGACTGCGTCTAGGCAAACGTAGTGTAGGACGTCCTCAGGCACGATGGGGTGATGATTTGCACAAAGAGCTGGATGTGAATAGCCCAAAATCGATCTGAGTGGCATGCAACTGGAGAAGCCTATGTTCAGCAGTGGACTAGGATAGGCTGTTGGTGATGGTATAATAAGAGTAAGGGAGTAAGGGACCCGATTTAGGGCGGTCGGTGCGTCCCGATATTCCTTACTCCCTAACAATCGGGTAGTGAAATAGCTGTTAGGCAATAAGGGATCTCAGTCGTCGCCCTCAGAGCGTATAGTACCAAAGATTTAAATCGTTAGATATGCTGCTGACACCGTAAATCTATGGCTATATTTTGAAATGACGTTATTATGATGACGATGGCCGTGTTGACACATTATAATGAAGTAAATGCTCAGAGTGTAAATTATTACCTCTTTTAAAGGCTTATTAGACTACCCAATTTTAAAGGACCCTTACCCTAATAAGAGTTAGGTCGATGCCCCGAGAGTGTCTAGTACCAAATATTTATATCTTTAGTTATGCCCTGTCACCGTAAAACTGTTTCTTTCAAATTAAGAACTATTTTTACGAATCGTCGTGAGCGTACAAACGTCAAAACGCACAGCGCAGAATATTGAAGGAATCCGAAAACCGAACAGTGAGATTTGAATTTATATTCTAATTTCAAATCACACATGGATTCCGCGGTGAACAGTGCGTATGTTACTAGTTTACTTGCTTAGTGCGTATGTTCGGCGGAACCCAATGTAATCTAGGTACTTTACAACATATTCCGTGGGCAGGCGCCCGTCTGACTGTACGGTATAAGGGTGCGGCCAGAGTGCACTCAGATTCAGATTCAGATTCAGATTTCGAAAACAAGCGCGAGAAATAAACAGTGTAGTCTAAGCAGGTTGCTTGCTTTTTCTCGCGCTTTGTTTTCTGAGTCTTAATCTGAATCAGGAGTGCACTCTGGCCGTACCCTTCGACTACACTGTTTATTTCTCGCGCTTGTTTTCGAAATCTGAATCTGAATCTGAGTGCACTCTGGCCGCACCCTAACAAATTACCCACCTAAGACAATCTGCTTTGCTCATCAATTATTCATAGGCGTTTCCTTATTTTTCGCAATAACTTTTTAGAGACAGCAGCATTTTTCAAATTAATGAGTTAATTTTTTGTTCCGGTCGGATGACAAATTCGCCGGCCGGCCCGAGCATTCCTGGCACCACCTTGGCACCCAAGGCAAAAGAGTAGAATGGCACCCTTTTAATTTTTAATATTAACAAATGACTCCACCCACCCATCTAAAGTTAAATGGCGGTGGAGTCCAGATGGGAAGATAGCTGGTGAAGCACTTTTACCTGCCATACCAGCCATCCTCACATTGTCGGTCTTTAAGTTGCTTCGTCATGGCTCTTTTAAAGGATCCTAGGTTGCGAAGGCAACATGTGAGAGCGCTCAATTCCACATTTTTCTTCAAAGAAAAATGTCACCAAATCGCTTAAATTGTGGTGCATGAGCATGACCACAATTTGCTTTAATCACAATCGGACATTCAAACACGCCGCATGTTGACTCAATATAACAATATTGCGTACATTCTGTGTTATATAGATGAAACAATGCCTTCGATGCTTTTATAAAGACCACAAATAGTTCAAGATCAAGTAACAAATGCCACGGCAACACTTTTCATTTTTGGCATTTTTTTCTCAAAAATCACGGTTTGTCGTGATTGTCATTGACGTAATCACCTTAAATCCAATACCACGGACTTTAAAAGATGGCGACCTTAGTTTTATATGCTTTCACACAATATGGGTATCAAATTAAAAAACTATCTGGGAATATGGGGTTTTTGAAGTTCTTAGTCCATCGATAATCAAAAGTAAAAAATAAATTAAAAGTATTAAAAAAACCAGTGTGCTTTTGACCACACGACTGACACCCATATTCTTAGTCGCGTCCTCAAACGTTCCTCGACTCTAACTCATTCGAGGACTCCTTAAGGAGTTCCTCCAAATAACCTCGAAAATGATATTCTAGTAGGCATCTTGAACAAACTTGAGAATACCTTTGTATAAAGCATAAAAGCATAGACATACTATGTGTGTAAAATAAAATATCACACAACAAACATAGGTAAATACCTACTTGAAATAATCCTGTCACGTAAAACTTCAAAGTCACCAGTAATGGTATTAAAGGCAGTACAGGTAGTCATCTGTTATTACAATTTAGTGTAATGCTTAGCATAGGAAATATTACTTGTATGAATGTATCTTTCTAAACCGAAATCTTCTTTTTAACGAAGCATTGTCGTAAACCTCAAAAGGATTTGCGGCGTCACGGAAATACCGTCGAGCCGGATTATATGGTTCATCATCGTATACGTAATCCATAACCAACACCAATTCGTCAATGATCACAAAATTCAAAATCTCAAAAAACAACATGAAAACACCTTAAACACCACTCGAGGAAGCCTTAAGGTACGTCGAGAGCTACCTTGAGTTTGACAGTTTATTCCTCGACTCGACCTCCACTCGAGTGAGAAATATCTCAAGTGAAGGATATTTTTATTGTCTAAGCATACGAATTTCCTCGAATGAGGTTGAGTCGAGTGGAAAAAATCTCGAGGAAACGACTAAGAATATGGGTGTGAGTCCCCCAAGTCTTTTAAAAACAAGCTTTTATAAAAATGAAATTTTCCCTTAAAACTTTTACTATGAACTTATAACGTTATTACACAATTTATATAATACTAGAGGTCGCCCGCGACTTCGTCTGCGTTAACTTAGTTTCTTGAAAATCCCTCTGGAATCTAGCATTTTTTCGGGATAAAAGTAGCTTGTGTTAATCTAGGGTGTCAGCTAACTCCTTACCAAATTTTATTAAAATCGCTCCAGCCGTTTAGACTTGAAGAAGTAACAAACATACACACTCACAAACTTTCGCCATTATAATATTAGTGTGATAAAAGCTTGTAGCCAGATTTAAGTAGATATTGGGCCCAATTCCAGCTTGATTATCTAAACCTATCCTTGTCATAATTTATACAAAATGAAAATGAGAGACTGATGTTAAATTTAGTTTTAAGTTAAGATAATCACGCCAGATTCGACACCAATGATACTCATTTGATACCCACAATATTGTGGGAAAGCATTAAAAACTAAGGCCGCCATCTTTTAAAATCCGACATCATTTATCACCTTAAATCCAATCAATGATTTAATAACATTCACGACAAACCGTGATTTTTGAGAAAAAAAATGTTTTTACAGTTTAACGAATAAAATGTGATGCCGAGGCATTTTGTTGTTTGTGGTCATTCACCACAATTTAAGCGGATCACTTTGCTTTTTTGTTTTTAATCTAAGTATATAATAAATTAGTAATGTTCGGTACAAGTCTTATGTAGGTAGATAGGACGTCAATTTTATTTATTAATATTGTATGGTAGTTCTGCTCCGCGTTCGCTCGGCTCGAACACGGATCATTCGCGCCATTTATTGATAAATTCGGTACCTATAAATAACGGTGTAAACCATCCCCATGACAACGGATAACCAGAGTCGAGGTCCGAGTCTCAGTGTCGCATTCTAGTTGAGCCGACCCCCTCAGGTTCCAGTGGACTAGAGGCTCCAGACGTAGAGGAGACTCCCCCCCCCTCCCCCGTTGAGGAGATGCCATCCGCCTGGAATACCTCTAGAGACACTCGCCAAGGTAAAACTGTACTTCCAGGGCCCAAGAGGTGATACTTGATTTTTTTTTTAAAAAAGGTCTCTATTAACGAATTTTTCTTTTTGGCGCTTCGCCGGCCGCTGCCGCTTCGCGCTCGCTTTGCTCGCTCGGCTCGCGCGTTATGGTCACAACACTAACCTAACCTAGTGTAAAGTATCACCGCTTGGGCCCTGGAGGTACAGTTTAGCTCTCGCCAATTCTCGGCTTGAGGTCCCCCTTAGGATCGCGCCGTCCCCAAACCCGATGACGCTGTAAAGATCATCTTCGATCAACTGGATTCACAGTCCAAAAAAATTAGATTGCAGTGCCAGGGACTAACCTCAGGTTTTTATTCCTATCTTACCATTCCATATTTATTTCGTCTGGGTCAGGAAAATTTAGGACGTATTTCGTCATAACTCCGCGTATCGCGGATACAAGTAGTATATTGAGTAGGATTACCTACTTTTTTTTACTTAATAATGTACATACCAAGGACTCTGATACAGTAAATTATGAATTACTGCTAGAGTCCGAATTCCACATAACAATTAGGCTATAGTTATAGAGTAGTTGATATTCATACATATAAAGAATTCTGGCCATTTCCCATTTCCTCAACTTTATATTGCCACTTGCGCGCGCATATTTCTGAATATCATAAAACTTGGCTGCCGAAGGTACTTTCATCTACTCGACGCACGCTAGTCACGACGTTGCTCTCTCGACGGGCAAACGGACGCTGAATCGCGAGTGTTACCATGAATTTACGTTATCGTACAAAAAGTTTCTTCTAAACATAGATTAAACGGCATGTGGGTGGATGTGAGCGCTCGCGAGAAATACAATTACATGACGCAAACCAACGGATCATTTATCCCTGGGTAAGCAGAAGACCTATCTGTAAAATTAAACATAACACCGAATTAAAAACCTTTTTGGTTAACTCAGCACTATCCCAAAATCATAGACAAAAGACACACACAAATAAATTGGCGGGAAACTAGGCTAACTATGACCACGACCAGCAAATATTTATTTTGCGAAAGTTACTCAGTAAGAACAGTAAAAGTCACAGGAAATAAGAACAAAACTCTTATTATAGTTTAATATACGGGCTTAATTAAAAGGTACTTGGATAATAATTTTTATTTTTACCTTAATAGTTCATAGCATAGGTTTTACCCTTAACGTTTTTTAGAATCGTGATAATTAGCTACAATAAAAGAATTTGCAAAGCACTGTATTAATTAGAGTGAAACGAAAATGGATTCACCTACATAAGAAAAAAATCACTCATATTAAAACTTCTTCCACTCAAGAATTCCAATTTAAATGTTAGGGGAAAGTTTTGGAAAAGTATTTGCAGTTATTTTTCCACATTGTCGTGTAGTTACCATCTCAAACCCGCCAGCACACCATTGATACCATATGTACCTAGTACCTATTAGACTATTATTTTCTTCACAATATTGGTTTTACAGTAAGTACCCGTACAATCATTTTTTCCCTTAAAAATAAAACCTTTTCCAGAAAACTTTAACGTTGGTTGCTGTCACTGGGGAGTTCACGATTCCGCCAAACAATCATCTCATACCATACGAATATTGGAGTAATAGAAAAAAACATTTGCTCCGTGATCTGTGAGTTCTTATAAAATACAAAAACTTTTTGACTAAAATGTTACTTCTAATTCTTTCGTGCACAATATAAATCTTACTTTTAATGGGGTTATGAAACGCATTTTTTTTAATTTGCTTGCTAACAGCCTATGTGATGTTTTATACTTCAAATATCAACATCACACAGGTACTCGTGATTATTATCCGATTAAAGGGTCCGAAACGTATATTAAAACAATTAAATAAAACGCTCTCTATAACCCGCATGAGAGTGTATAAACTTTTCTTTTACAAACACAACTATTTCAATACGGCACATTAAAATTATTATTGACACCTGTGAATGTCCTCCCTGATATTTCTACTATACAATGGCGGGTAAGTTTGCTTGTTGGTTGGATTTACACCTTTTGCAATCGTGAAGTGGCGGAAGAATATGTTGTTCTGATTATGCATGCACAAAATTCTTTTCAAAAATCAACACCTCCCTTAACTTAACACTCTATATCTGAATATAGCTACCTCAAATGGTTTTTCTACTCTATCTACATACTTTTATAGTATGTTTAAAACAGCATTGTTAAACCTTTATTAGGCTACAATATAAGTCTCGTTAAGTTTTAAAAGTCAAGCTAGATATAGGTAAGTGACTAATCAATCATAGACAACAGACGTAAGAGATCAGGGTAAGTAACTTGCATAGAACTTCAATTTTCTCTAACATAGAACATGGTCTCTAAGCAGGGCCTACATTCTGTAACATTTTCACACGAGGATCCGATGCGGTTCTGCGCCAATCTATATGGGAAACTCGCGGATCCGCATCGGATCCGCGCGTGAAAATTTTACAGAATAGCCCCGCTGGTCTGGCTTCTACTTACCTAGCAAAATATATTATTGTATAAACAGCTTTTTTTAAGAAGTTAATAAATTTTACTCGGATACGACACAGGTTAATGTGTAGTTATGTTATTCTTAATAAACTATTATTAAGTAACTACATAATTATTATAAAATAAAACTCCGCGTCGGCGGCGTCGCCGCGTCTGTCTGTACATTCGTAAAAGTCTAAAAAACTTCTGAACTTGAACTAATTTACATACGGTTGTTAGATAACATTTCACGAAAGGTTTATTATAGTGTAACAAATGCCTGAGAACGAAAAGCCTTTCGATTCCTAGCAATTTTATTAGTCTGAAAGTACTCTGTCTGTAAGCACAGGAACAGATTTTATTAGTTTTGGTGTTCACAGAGATAAGAGGGACCCCAGAAATGATCATCGGCTACTTTTTGTCACGCTAATAAAACCAAAAGGGGTTTAAATATGTGATGAAAGTGTGTATAAAAACGTGGGTTATTCTACGCAAGCTGCTCTTCGTAATCCCATTATGATATAACAGTAATAATAGTAATATACCTACTTAAGTATAAAATGTTTGTCATGTATAAAAAATGAGATGTCACTCATACAACATACAGAATACAGACAGCCCCCGTTTGTCGCGTGAATTGCGAAAATCATGTTCACTAAAAAGTTGCCTACAAGAGTCGCCGCACACGGGCCACACGCCACAGCCACAAACGCTAGAAGCGGCTACTAAAGTGGCTGAAGCGCGCGACAGCGGCCGACTAAGGTAAGTGTCGCCGCACACGGGCCACATGCCACAGCCACAAACGCCGCCACGAGAAGCTAGAGCTGCTACTAAAGTGGCTGAAGCGCGCGACAGCGGCTGACTAAGATAAGGGAGAGAGGGGTGGTGAATCGCGCGAGTGACGTGTGGCGGTGTTTTGTATCGGCACATTAAGTGGCTAGTGCGGGCCACAAGAAGCGAGCAACGACGATTTGTAGCGTGTGGCGGCCTCCGGCGTACCGTGTGTGGCGAGCCCATATAAAATGTATGAAAACTACAAGAAATATGCCGGTGGCGGCGTTTTGTGGTTGTGGTCGGTGGCCCGTGTGCGGCGACACTAAGCTTTTTCAATTACCTATTTCCTATCTGTAATGCTTGTTCGTTAAACTCAAGGAATTTATAAACCTTCTACCCCTTATTAATAAACAAAGTATAATCATGGATTAGTTACTCTATATTTTGTCTGTGTTCATTGAATCACAAATTACACTTGAGTAATATGACCAAAACACGGCGTAACTAGTCTAAGCTTATTCCCCGTATATTAAAAAGGGGGTAAAAGTTATACTAAGCTCATCGCATATATTTACTTATTTGTTTCTTAGGTTTTCACGCCCATTAACCAATAAATAAAGTCTTTAGAAGGTAGCTCGACAGAGTCAATAAAATCATTATTCAGACGACGCATCCTGAAAAGGATGCGAAACTACAATAAATAAATAGAATCAGTGCATCTATACCGTTGAAACTTGTTTCATTTATTCAGCTTACTTGTCATTCACTCTTAACGACAATTTTCATAAATGTGTGGACTTCAGACATGAATATGAATCCCATGACCTTAGAATCTGAGTGCCGTAACGTAATACGTATAGATTACCTACATCGTGTAAAATGATTTGCTTTATTTTGTAACGGTAAATATAAGCTTTTATTTAAATAAACCCATTGTAACTTTAGATTAGTAGAGTTCCCACTAGACCTACCAAAGATTTTGACGCTACGTTTAGATATATTCGTCACAGTAAGGTTACCATCCGTCCGGATTTGTCCGGACTTTCTGCCCTTTTCCGGAATTTGTTGGGCTTTTTAATTTGTCCGGAATTAATTTTATAAGATGGAATATGCGTAAAAGTACTTATTAAGTTATATCAAATAATGTTTATTTATTTCAAACAAAATATAAATTATCTTTAAAAATTAACAACGAGACCCCCCTCGCGATGCGAGCGTCTGCTACCACGCGTATAATATCACTGTATGTAACTAAGTGGATGATGTTTGCATTTTGTGACTTAAATGTCCGGACTTTTATCGAAATATCCGGCTCTTTGTCAAGACTTTTAAAACTTTTAAATAGTAACCCTAGTCACAGGTGAAGGAAAGTACATTTTTTGATCTGCAAATATTTCTACTTCTCCTTCAAGAAACCTCACGTATGCACATTGTTTTCGGTAAAAAACTAAACTTTAAAGACGTACTAAGAGGCTATAATATGGTTTTCTTCCGTGTGTACGCTATTTTAATGTATGATAAACGAGCAGAGTTCCCAAGGTTAGGTTGAAAATGAGCCTTTATATGTTTGTGGCCAATAAAAGTGCCTAGTAAGCGGATATGAGGGAAAATTTTATATGATTGCGTAGAACGTAATTCTAGTTTAGTTATAGATACCCTTCTCTCCAATTTCGTAACTTCTAACGAATTATGTGTCGACCTCGGGTAGAATGGTGTGAACACCGGTTTCCATTCTGAGGTCCTGGCTTCGAATCTCTGTAAGAGCAAATGTTTCAACGATGATTACAAGCATTTTTTCTTAGACATGGCTGTTTTAATTATAATTTATAATATTTCCACCAAAATATAAAACTACCTATCTATCTATGTAGGTAACATTAACATAGTATAAGTATTTCAAAAAATCAACAACTACTTAATAATGAACTACATCGGTTAAACTAAACTAAAACAAACAAAAACGTAAAGAAAATCTTTTATTATTATTAATGGGATAATAAAAAAATACTAGAGATTGCTGAGCACAATTAAGTTACTAAACTAAATAGGGATGATCAGACCCGTCTTTCCCAGTGGGCACTTTAGGCAAGTGCCCAGGGCCCTGCGATCGATAGGGGGCCCCCTCAGATGAAATACAAAGTCTCTAGTTCCTGTTAAATCACCAAACGGAAGTCATAGCGGCCCCATTATCCTAATATGTCCAGGGCCTCCAATAGGTCAAAGGCGGCACTGGGGATGATGACGGGGTAAAGCAAACGAAATTAAATCTAGTCCGTCAGTTCCATTATCAAAAAAATATGGAATGACAAAAATAATGGAATGACAACAGACGTTAGGGTACGGGTCACAATTTTTTCCTATGTCAATCAACCAAAACATAAAAGATAAAGCGGGTCAAATATTTAGGAGTGGGCGTTAGTGACGTCACTTCTAAGTAAAAATTGTACACGACCGACCTTCAGGTAGCATCAATTTCCGAGTCTTTGTTATAAATATATTAGGCACTTGAAATAATGCTGAGCACAATTAAGTTACTTAACTAAATAGGGATGATGACGGGGTAAAGCAAACGAAATTACCTATATCTAGTCCGTCAGTTAGATTATCAAAAAATAA